TCCCAGACAGGGGGCAGAGGACAGATCAAAGCAAGGATATCTTCAAAGTCCAATTTGGTGGACCAGTGAGTTTTATTGGGTTCACTTACAGAAGCAGAAATGACTCAGAGACAGCTGCATCACAAAAACCCACCCTAGCATGGGTGATAGCTCACAAAAGCTGAAAACCTAGAGCACTCTACATAACTTCTAGGCAACTCAACAGATTGGAGAGTGTCCTTTTAGGTAGTTCAGTAGACCTGAGACTTTTCCAGACAGCCCAGGTTGGCAGCGTATCTTCCATCAGCCCTTACAGATTATATCTGCTCTGGGAAGGAGACTAGTGTGTCTGGTCAGTTTCTGGGACTTCCTGAATTCTTTAAGTTGTTTATTTCCTGATCTTAAGGAGCTTCCCTGTAGGATGAAATGTTTCATCTCCTTTAGAGCATCCTGTTTCACCTATCCTTTAACACCTTGTATCTTAACAAGTTACTGTACAGGATATGTCTTAGTCTTAGAGGAAACAGCTATACACATGTGCTGCTGATTTAAATTTTCCTAATTGCTAACATACTCTTACTGGTCATTTTATGTCTCCTCTGGAGAAAGGTCTACTATAAGGAGTATGGTCTACTTAAATCCATTGTTCATTATTAATTAGGTTTATCTATGAGCTACCAGTGTTTTACATATTAGTGACATCCTATCTTCATCAGATGTGTAATTTGCAAGCACTTCTTACAGTCTATATCCTGCCATTTAATTTTTTCCAAGTCTTTCTTTAAAGTATTTATTATTACTAATTTTTATGTATGTATTTGCAGGAGGTTGTGTATCTGTGTGAGTGTATAGGCACACACACAAATGTGGTTGCCCTAGGAGGCCAGAAGAGGGTGTCAGATTTCCTGGAGCAGGAGTTACAGGCAGTTGTGAGCCATCTGATGGTGCTGGGAATCTACTTTGGTCCTTGGGAAGAGAAGCAAGTGCTCTGAACTACTGAGTCATCTCTCCATCTCCTTCACAGAGTCCCTTGATGACCACCAGTCGTACACACTACTGTTAATGAAGTCCAGTCTGCCTCTTACTCCTTTTGTTTTCTGTATTGTTAAAGCCATGATTAGAGGTTTGTGCTTTCTGTTTTGGTTTTAACTTCCGTATTCAGGCCAGGTCCATTTCAAGTAAATCTATATAATGGTGTGAAGTCTGAGTTATTCTTTTGCTGGTGGATGTCAATTGTCCTAGGGACATATTGAAGCTGTCCTTTCCCTCTTGAATTGTCTTGAATTGTCTTGATCCCTTCAGGAATCCATTGACATGTTGCTGGGTGTTCTCCTTGTAGTTCTTAGAATTATTTTCTACTTTAGGTTGTCCTCTCTCATGTGAGGAGCTACTCCCTCTTCTCTGTGGTCTGACACTTCCTCGGCTGCTTGTGGAACCCTTGGCATATTTCTGGGGCTCCTCCTGCAAGTGGGGGTGTCCTGCTTGACTCTCACATATCGCAATCATTGCTCTTGTCCCCAAGTACCACGACTATCTCCTTTTCAGCCAGATACCTTGCCCTGTTGCGTATATTCTATTTGGTGTTCAAATCCCTTGCAGCTCAAGGATGCTGTGGCAAAGGCTGACCTCAGATATACGTCATCCTGGGGACTCAAAGCCTTCACTGTTTGTGGTCCAATATATAAAACTGATTTTGAAGATTCTTTCCCATTTGCTCCTTATTTGTGGTGGGTATATAAGTTCATGCCTTGTTCTTCCCCTCAACCCAGATAGGTAATATTACACCATTATTCTGGCCTGGATCATTGTAGTTTTTCCAGCTGTTTCCCCTGCTGTTATACTTTCTACCTCCAATACAACACCGGAAAGGATCCTAAAATTGTGCCACTTATTGCCTGTGTCAAAATCCTCCGGGACCCCTTGCTCCTCTCAGAGAAAAAGCTAATGTCCTTACTATGTCCATACACCCTTGGTAGACCTGCCCTCTTGGTGACCTGGTCTTTGGCCAGTCTTCTCAGGTATCATCTGCTGTAGATGCCTTTGAAACCAGCCAGCTCTCTTCCCAAGGTCCGTACCCTGTGTTCCTTCTGTGTTGTTCCTGAACCATTGCCTTCACTGTAGTCAGCTTCGTGCTCAAATGTCACCTTGGTGAAGATGGCTTAGACAATTCAACTTAAAGTACAAATGCCCCCTCCATGTCAACACTCTCTGAACAACTTGTTCCATTTGGTTTTCCCCATAACATTTATGACCTTTTAAATAATTTATAATTACATGAATCAGGGTTCAATCAGGAGACGGAATGGCACAACAGATAGAACAGGAATGGTTTATGTAATGAACAATTAACAATACAAATGTACAGACAGCTCTAAAGACTAGCTTGAGGCTGCAGGAGGTGCTTTGAGGGTTTGATACCTTCTACAAGGCCTGGTTCAGACCTGGTAGGAAAAGGTGTGGCTACAGTCCCGGGTATCTGCCTGGGTCAGGGATGGGTAGATCAGGACAGAGGATAGCAATCGGAGAAAGGCACCCTTGCTTCCTAGCAAGCAGGAAGACTGTCTTCTCTGGCAGGTCTGAATCTTGATAGACAGCACCCTTGCTTCCTAGCAAGCAGGAAGACTGTCTTCTCTGGCAGGTCTGAATCTTGATAGACAGCTATTTGGGGCCCACTGAGACCAGTAGGACTGAATGCCCTGGACGACTTGATGTGTTTAGAGCTTGGTGGGATAGACAAAAAACAAAGCTCTGAAATAGATCCTAACAAATGTGCCTGAGTGAGATAAATATATCTTCTTCATGAGAGAAAACTGGTGATACTTGTCTCTCCAGCTTCTATTATCTTCACTTGTCCTTCCACAAAACTCTGCCTTCCTGCAAATGGTCACCCTTGTACTTTCATGTCATACATATGTGTAATATGTATACATATTTACATGTAAATTCTTCAAATGAAAGAAAATATGCAAAATTTGTCTTTTTGAGTCTGTTAAGAATAGACCAGGGCAAGATTTAACTGAAGGACACGCTGCTAGTGACTCATTTCTACCAGCCTTCTGTCTGCCGAGCCCTCCAAATAGTGCCATTAGCTGGGAATAAGTCTTCAACATTTGGACCTGTGGAGGACGCTTCAGATCCAAACATCGAAGTATGTTAATTTATTTCACCTCTGCTCTCCAAGTACATGTTTTAGAGAAACATGGAAAGAGATGCAGGCACTAGAACCAGATTGGGAAGCTGTGAGGCTGTTGATGTGTCAGGAAAAATCTCCCACAGCTTCTGGGGGCTGTGAGGTTTGGCTTTCAGCACTTTTAGTCACAGCACAAGTCAGCAGCAGACTGTCCCTGGCTGTGTCAATCACATGTGCATATTGTTTTCCTCCTGTTCATGGTTTGAGACACACGTGCCTGTGTGGTAAGGTGCTGAGAGGAATGACTCATGCATGCTAATGAAGGACAAGCTGACAAGTACAGAGAAGCTTCTCCCAAGACATGGAAATACTACCTTGCTTCCTAATCTCTGGTCCTAAAGAGCACTGGCCCTGCCCACTCACACCCAGAACACCAGGCCTCCTGCTATAGTGAGCTTGTGATCTGGGCCATGCCAGCCCCTCCGCACAAGCCAGGGCTTGTCAGAGAGTGCTCATAGATTGTTTGTGGATACTTGAGCCTGTCCACCTTTGGTCCAGGCAGGCACAAAGATGCCATTGTGGGACCAGCACCCATCTCCAGAGCCTTGAAGTGTGGACACCCACACAGGAACTGAACCCTTCTCCAGAGCTGACCTTCTGGGTCTCAGGGCAGGTGGCCAAGTTCAGGAACTGTAGAGTAGGGGGTGAAAGGCAGAGTTCCTACCGGGAAGGAAGCTGGGCCAAGGCCTGAAGACAGGGCAGCCAGGGCAGACATCATGGACTCAGAACACAGGCTGTCACATGAAGTCATAGTGCCTCTTGCATAATTTACCCAAGGGGAAAGAGATCTGGCCATGCTGAGAGCCTGTAGTGCTCAGAGCTAATGAGGAGAAAGCTGTGGACTCCAGAGGAACCAAGTTCAGCAGCAGCACAGGGGTGGGTTCAGGACAGGCAGTGATGGATGCTGGTTCATCATCGCACCTCAGGGCACAAGATGGCAAGAAATGAACACACATGGACCTCAGTTGTACCAGGGCAGCCCTGGCTCTGAAAATGTCCTCTCAGCAGGTCCTCAGATGACAAGAACAGCAGAAGGTTAAGTCCCTTAGTTGGAGATGAATCCCCCTGGGGACATGGAGCTGAAGCCCTCTTTACAGATTCCTTCAGGATCTGTGTGGCTGGAAATGTTCATGCAGCCAACTTAAAATTGTGAACTATGGAAATTGTATGGTAACTGGTGGTTGAGTAGATGGGCACTGGTCAGTCAGAGAAAAAGGACCAAGACATCTGAGAGTAAGAAGTGGTCTTCAGAGGGCACAGCTGGCCTCAGTGCAGAATGAAGGGGGTCAGGGTCATGGTGTGCCTAGTGTGGCATGGGGTCTACCCTGATGATGTTTAAGCTGACTAGAGTCAGGAGTTTGTGTCCCCACTTACAGGAAGGTCCAGGTGGGGATTCCATGCAGGGATAGGACAATGAAGAGGGCTCCGTCCAGGCAGGGCCCAAGCCATCTGGGAGCTAGCTAACATTCTCTGGGGTGAAGCCCAGCCCTGTTCTGAGCAGCAGGAGGTCAGAAGCCAGGTCTCAGGGGATGTAGCTCAGGGAAGCCATGGCAGATGGAGGGCAGGGATGGGAAGAATACCCTGACTCTCTCTTCCTGCCCAATCTCGCTGCACCCGAGTCACTCGCCTTCCGCAGGGTCCTTTGTGAGCACAACTCTTGGTGACACAGACATTGCAGGGCATTGTGTGTCTTTCTTCATTTGTAGGTGACATTGAGCTGATATTCATCAGATCCCAACAACAACAACCTTCCACCTCCATGATGGATGTAGATTTGGCCATGATAGAAGGACAGGAGGGATGTGGCCAGTGCCAAGTGGGCACACATCCCTGGCCATGGGGGATATAAAGGGCACCCTGTGAGGCGCCAGAGCAGACATTCTCCAGGTGACCTGCCTTGTGTGAGAGCCCAGCGACTGATGATGAAGAGCCTGCTCCTGACCTTCTTGCTGCTGGGGCTGGTGGCTGTCCTGAAGGCACAGGAAATTCTACCAGATGGCGATGAGGATGTGAGGAGGGGGAAAAATCAATGGGTGGGGATAGAATAAAGGCATGGCCTTCTGCTTGATGTCGGTAGGTTAGAGCTGAGGTGCAGGATGTTTCCTGGAAGGTTGAGTTTGACCTGGCACTGAGCAGTCATACCTGGGATTTCACCATTCTACCAGAAGACAGGGATCCTCCTGAAGATGGTTTAGAATAGGAAAACAGATTTTGGTGAGGTGTCCTTGTTCAAGTGACAAGGCCTCATAGGCAAAGGCATTCATCCAGTGCTGAGGTGTACATCTCAAGAGTTCAGATACCTGGGATGGGGAGCACACACTTTCTACCATAATGGGATTGGGTAGCCTAAGTGCTGGCATCTCTTTATTGACCAAAGGTCTTGGGATATACGAGGTTAGCCCATGTCAGTGGCTGCAGCCTGGGCTCTGGGATGTCTATTCATGTGCTAACCCATATGCTGGAGCCTGGGATAGAATCAGGGACAGACCTGGGTGTACTCAAATCTTTGTCTCCTGCAGTACTCTGGCACCTGGTACCCAAAGGCCATAATACACAATGAGAGCCTACCCAGTCACAAGGTACCTTCAAAGATTTTCCCTGTGAAGGTGACAGCCCTGGAACAAGGAGACTTGGAGGCCAAGATTATATTCTGGTACGTGACCCCTACCATGGGCCTCTGTAGTTGTTTGTCTCTCCCTCACTATCCATTATTTGAGTCCAGGCAACTAAAAGATCCATGCCTTTGAGGGGATACAGTCCCAAGCAGTACTGTAAATCTGGGACATGGAATTTAGGGGATCACCTGACCAGGGCTGATCTACCAAAAGAGCTGAGAGGCCTCAGCTATGTTGCTGAGAGTAGTCTGACTGTGCACTTGTGTTTTACAGGAAGAAGGGTTGGTGTCATGAGTTTAAAATCGTGATGGAGAAAACCAATGAGCCTGGCAAATACATTGCCTGTGAGTCCCCTGTATCTTAGGGTCTCCTGCAGTGGCAAGACTTTGAATGCATGGGTCCTTGCCTGGTCCAGCTTCTCGGACAGGCTATCCACTCACTTTTCATGTACCAGATACTAGAAGTCATTGGCTGGTTAACCATAGAAACTGACTGCTTCTTGGTTCCCTGCCTAGCTCAGCTCTTTACCCAAGAGAAACCAATGTTAAAGCTAGGAAAACCAGGCAGTGAGATGCTCAGGCTTGGGTCCAGCATCAGCCCCCTTCTCTGAACTCCTTAGCTGGGCTTGGCAGCTTCCTGAGAAATGTCTCCTGTGTAACTATGAGAACCATGGAAAAGCCAGGGCTTTCAAGGTGTTCCTTCACATGGTTTCCAATGGTGTCTCCAGGGCTGAGACACTAATATCTATTTCTGTTCACGTGCAGTTCATGGCAAGAAGTTTGTTTATATCATAGAGCTGCCTGTTAAGGACCACTACATCATCTACTGTGAAAGCACTCACCATGGGAACTCATTCGGCTTAGGAAAACTCATAGGTGAGGTGCCATGGAAACCCCACATCCTATCCCTAGTTTCTGCTTCCAGTAGCTGTGAGAAAGGCAGCAGCCGTGCCTGGCCCTGGGGGCCACGAAGCCTCTGGTGCTGTCCAGGAAATGTGTGAGATCCAAAGTGGAAAGTGGCTGAAACCGTGGGGATGGGACTTTTGTGGCCTTTGGAGATCAGAGAACTCAGGAGAGGTTCCCACCCCTGGAGCCAGCAGATGCCAATTGTGGGAATCTGTCAAGGGTCAGGTCGATTTCAAAGGGAATGTCTTGGCAGAGGCCCTTTATGGTACATAGACAGGTATCCTCCAGGGTCAGGGAACAGCCTTGTGTCCCTGAGATTCAGGGCTCTTACAGGCTGTGAAATAATTCTGTAGGCCAGCAGAGGTTCTTCCTTGGGCCAGAGGGTCCCTCAGTGTCTGGGTGTCCACACACCTAAGTTCCTTGTCCACTGCCAAGGTCCTCTCTCAACCTTTGTGCTGGCTAGTGCTCCCATCCTTCTGTCCCTGACTCTCTGCAGAGCTGAGCCCACCCTCATGCCTCCCCACCTCCCCACAGGGAGAAACCCCGAGGAAAACCCAGAGGCTATGGAAGAATTTAAGAAATTCGTACGGCACAAGGGACTCAAAGAGGAAAACATCTTGGTCCCAGAGCTGAGTGGTGAGAGCAGGGCTGCCCATGTCTCTCCCTGTGTCCCCTATGCCACCTCTGAGTGTCACTGTCCCCAAACCAGGTCTGTCTGTATGCTTCTGTCTGTATGCCCTGTGACTGTGTGCTGTCTCCATCATGTCCTCAGTGTCATCCATAACTCAGTGCTATGAAGAAGACTCTCTGTCCCTGTGTCCCTCCAAATCTCCTGTGCGTCTGCTTCGCTGTCTACCCCGCTCTCCTTCTAACCCCAGTTTCGGTACTGTACCTTCAAGGTCCCCTCACCTCTCACAGGCTGGCCAGGCCCTGCTTCAGGTCTTGGCTGTGGAGGGTCTGAGCTGCAGGGGTGATGGGGTCTGGTCCTCTTACAGGACCCTTCTCACTCCTGGGCTTCTTTTGGTTTCTACAGATAAGTGTGTTCCAGAAAGTAAATAGGGTGAGTCTCCCCTCCCCGCCCCCACTTGTAGGAATGTGGAAAAGCCTAGAATGCTGTGCTCAGAATTGGTAGGGGCCTCATCCCATCCACATGGACAGTGTGGCCACTAGGGAGGTGGTCCTTCCTAACTGTCATGACCTTTCCTAGACCCAGTCTCTGCCTTGCCCTGTCCTTTCCATTCTCTCCAAGAAGGCCGAGACCTGGCTACTCATAGGAATTTTGCAGGGATTGCTTCAGAGGGTCCCAGCTTCTAGTAGGGATCATACAGAAACTTGAGGGATAAGATCTCTGTCCCGCTGGGTGGTGGTGGAACATGCCTTTAATCCCAGCACTTGGGAGGCAGAGGCAGGTGGATCTCTGTGAGTTCGAGGCCAGCCTGGTCTACAAGAGCTAGTTCCAGGATAGCTTCCAAAGCCATAGAGAAACCCTGTCTCGAAAAACCAAAAAAAAAAAAAAAAATCTCTGCCCTGGGCCAACCCTGCCCTGACTGCTGCTCCCACAATAGTGGGGGACTTATCTCTCTTCCTCTCTCTACCACAGCAGCTACCCAGGTCTGCATCTGCTGAGCAAGCTTTGCTTCCAACACCTGACTGGGACATCACTGCCCCCCCAAGCCTTGACCTTCCCTAACCCCACCTGAATCCAAATAAAGCCCTTTAGCAGGACTCTGGCCCAGCCTCTCTGTGAAGGGCCTTGTGTGGACTCTAAGAGCTCTGCTGGCAGCAGAGACGCGGGGGGGGGGGGGGGAGGGGGTAAGGGTAGCGACATTGCCCAACAAGGACAGACCAGGAGCATGGCTTCTGACTTCCCCATAGAGCCACATGAGGTCCTAGAAGCCCCCACCTGGAGAGCCACTCACTGTCAGGCCAGGCCCTGGAGGAGTGTCTCAGAAGTCCTGGGGAGGCCCGGCTGTGTGGATGTCACTGCAGGGCTCCTGCTCAGCTGGACTTGGTGAACTTCTGGGAGGGCCCCTCCTTGAGAAGCCCAGCTCAGTGACAGAGTGGAGCAAGGGTGGCTAACTCCTCCCTCCATCATGTCCCCTCAGAAAGACAGAAGCAGCCACAGCCTCCACCAGCCCACTCCAGCCCTCCCCACAGTTTCCCAAGGATCAGGGAGTGGGCTTTCTCTGTCCAACAGGGACATGGTGGCCACATGAGGGAGAAGACCTCCCCCCCTTTCAGGTGATCAGTACAGATAGCCTCAAGGTGCAAACCCCACTAGAAGCTGGCTTTCCAGAATGTCACCTTTTGCTGAGGGACTGTTGGCACTCAGGCTAGTGTCCTCAGCTCAGTGACCCTCCAGCCTAATTCCCACCTGATTCACTGGTCTCTCTGAATTCCTTTCCTATCTGAACCTGGCTCTTGCTGGGAGCAATTGGGTGTTCCTAAGGTGGGGCAACTCTGCAGGGGCAGGTGGGGCCTGAGGCATCCAGGACACTTTGGAGGGCAGGGCCAGGCTAGGCTGGATCCCACAGACATACCTGGCCCTCTCTTAAGACAGGGATGTAGGCGTGACACTGAGGACCTGGTGTGAAAGCTCAGGAGCCGTGACTGTGCCCTGGAGAAATGAGCAGAACCCTAGCAGGACACACAGTGAAGAGGGGCCTGCTTCTCTGTCAGCTGCCCCACCCTGGAGCCTTCTCTGAAACTTCTTGGGCTTCATTACTGTTGAAGGGAAGCAGCTGGGACTTTATTTTGGCAGAGACAACTTCCTCCTTCTGGAACTCTGAACCCATTTTGACCCATACTGACCAATCGACCACCCTGTGGTTTGCTGGCCTCTTGTGACCAGGATGAAACTTTTTCAGGTGGTCTGATCATATGTTAGGGGCTGATACACATATTAGCACTGTTAAACATGACATTTTTATACTAAGTGTTCATGCACATATGCATCAGCCATGGCCTAGGTGTGGAGCCGTGGTCTGTCTTTACAGAGGCAGCTCTCTATCCAGTTCATATGGTTTCTGGGGATTGAGTCAAGTGGTCAGGTTCTGTATGGCAAGTGTGTTTCTCACCCACATAGGGACCCTGCTGGTACCAATGCTACCTTTTCTTTACTACATTTAAGCAACTGGAGGCTTTCACAGACTGAATCTCTAGATTAGTTTGTTAGTTTTCTGTTGCTGTGATAAAATATTCTGGCAAAAGTGACTTAAGGCAGGAGGGTGTGTTTTGGCTCACCATTTTAGATCTCTGTCCATCACGAAGAGGAAGCCAAGGTGGTGGCAGCTAGAGGGGGCTGGCCACATCGAATACATAGTGAAGCAGCATAGACTGGACCAGCCAGATGGCTCAGAGGGTGAACCAGCTTGGCACCCTGAGTTCAGGCCTCACGATCACATGGTGGGAGGAGAGACTTGATTCCTGCTTGTCCTCTGACCTCTACACATTGGCCATGTCACCTGAACACACATACACACACACACAACACACGCACGGACACATGCACATGCATAACCCCCCCCAAAGTTGTATAAGTTGGTGAATGTGGTCAGTTTATTTTTCCTTTTTATAGAGCCCAGAATCCCAGCCCAGAAAATGGATCCACCCACAGTGGACAGTTAAACCCACCTTAACTAATCTAACCAAGACAGTTGTCCACAGGCATGTTCAGAAGCTGTTGTCCCTGGTAATTTCCATCAGGCTGACAACTGGATGGACAACCACAGGTAGCCAGTTTACCTCGGGGGTGTTCTTCAGTTTAACTCTGTTCATCTTGTGGATGATGTGTGGCATTTGAGCACTGTGTGTCCAGCTGTTTGAAGCTGTACATCTGCAGAATGTCATCAGGGTACAACAAAGCGTTATAGGAAAGATGTTACAGGTAACCAGCAAAAGCAAACATGTAATGGCAAACTAACTTTCTTTTTTTTTTTTTCACAGACCAAGCCTTGACCTTTATTTAAAAAGCTGCATATTTATTTTGTTTTCTGACTCTGTGCTTGTGCTCTGTGCTTTGACACTTTCACAACAATTTTCTGCCCCTCTATAAGGAAAGCCGGCTTGATCCTGTCACAGACACACTTGGTGCACATGGAACCACTGTAGGCCCTGCTGACGTGCTTCTTTGTCTTAGACAGTCTCATGAGGACTTTTGGTCTGACAGCACGAACCCCTAGAAGTCTGCCTGAGCATACACCACATGCAGATTTAGGTGCTTTCCCAACCTTCTTGGTATAAAGGTAAACAATCCTATTGCCAGGGGGTTCAGGACAGCCTAGTTTTGTTAGAGGCTGTATTGTAGGAAAGCCTACGTGGGTATGTCAAAGGCTGGACCATTTTGAGTGCCCTCAGGCAAGCTGTAGCACTGACCCCCACGATGTCCCGCCCACCTGATGCCTAGGATGGCTATGGATTGTAAATAGAGCAAACACAGAGAAGAGCTAAGCCGCCATACCTCGCAAACTAACTTTCTTAAAAGTCAGTGCTCTTTGGAGGTATTTTCACTAGCTTGGCTGTAAATGCTTTTTTTTTTTTTTTCAGGGGTGGGCTGTGAGGGGGTTGAGCAACCAGACCAGAACTATAGATGACTAAAGCCATACCAGATGGTGACAGAGATGGGGGTACAGCTCTGAGCTGCCACCCAGGGCCTTGACTCAGGCCAAACATGGCTTCATGGCTTCAATGCAGTGAATTCCAGGAGGAGCCAGTATGAAGCAGAGTTGGTGATTAGTTCAAAGAGAAAGAAAGCTGTTCAAGAAGAGAATAAAGGCACTCCAGATTGGGGGCAAGGACTTCTCAAATGAGAGTCACAGTTTATTATACAGCAGGAGTAAAGAGAGAGACACTCAGGGAAAGAATAAAACACAACCAATTCTCAAGATAGAATGAGTTGCTGTTTAGTTTTAGCTATATGTTCTGTCTTGGTGGCTCTCAAACTACATGTCAATGAAATATTAAAGATTACAGCCTCCCCAAGATTTAAATAAGTTGTCATTAAAATGAAAACCCAGACAAAAAGCAGTAAACATAAAATGTTAAATCTCTCTCTCTCTCTCTCTCTCTCTCTCTCTCTCTCTCCCTCCCTCCCTCCCTCCCTCCCTCCCTCCCTCTCTCTCTCTCTCTCTCTCTCCTTTGAGACAGAGTTACTCTGTTGCTCTGGCTGTCCTGGAACTTGCTTGGAGACCAAGGATGGCCTTAAACTGGGAGATCTGTCTGCCCCTGGCTCCCAAGTGCTTGGATTAAAGTTGTGTGCCACCAACTACTGTTTGGTCTTTTTGAACTTTTGCTTGAAATAGATCAACTTTCTATGTCTTATATGAAAATTCATTTAAAAATGAAAAATAAATGAACACAAAAACCTCAGAGAGTTCAATTATTTGAAATAAAGCACAAGAAAAGCCTATAAGGAGTATATGGGTTATAATCACATACAATTTCATATGAAATTCTTCATTCTTTTTAAAAAGAATATTTATTTCTATGTGTGTTCGGGCAGTGCACTCACATATATGCAGCCAAATCATACATATAAAATAATACAAATATAAAAAATAGTATGGCTTTAAGAAAACCTTTAAAAAAAGACACTAAGCCAGTAATCCACGGACATCCCTGTATATGTGTTTATTGCAGGAGTTTTCACAATACTGTTACGGAAACAAGGTGCCCATCAACAGTGAAACAAAGACGTGGATTATTTTCAGTCATAAATAAGAGCAAAACATGTCATTTGCAGGAAGTGGATGTAATTGAACATTAACATATTAAATCAGTTTCAGAGAGACAAGTTTATCTTTGTTTCTCTCATTCGCCGGCTCTAGATTTTATAAGCATAAAATCATTCTTGCTACAGATGACATGAAAGTAGTAGAGTAACTGGGCAAACCAAGAGGACTAAGGGAGGTGAAGGGGTATAAAACAGCAGGGAATGAGTGAGGATAAACTGGAAGTAGGCTATACACATGCATGAAAATATATTCTAAGCTTGCACGACGCGGCGCCGCTAGCCTCTCTCCATAAGGTGGCGCGATACTTTGAGCGTGGCGTCTGGCGACTGGCAGTCGCCTCCTCCCTCTGCTCCAGACCGAGACCAAGGCCTGGTGAAGGGACTGTCGGGATAGTAGGAAGGGGAGTGGTTCGGGCCTGATGCGCACCGCGCCAGGTTTCCGCACCAGCTCTGCGCCCCTCGGTGTGGCCCTCAAGCTCACAGCCGCGACCATGCCCCTCCACGTGAGCCTCGCCAACGGCAACCGGGACCTGGATTACGACTCGGTGCAGCCATACTTCATGTGCGATGATGAGGAGGAGGACGTGCACCAGCAGCCGCCGCAGCCGCCCGCGCCCAGCGAGGACATCTGGAAGAAATTCGAGCTGCTGCCCACGCCGCGCCCGTCCCCGGGCCACGCCGGCCTCTACTCACCACCCAGCGAAGCGGTCGCCGCGTCTTTCTCCCCCAGGGAACACGACGATGACAGCTTCTTTACCGCAGACCTGTTGGAGATGGTGCCCGAGCTGCCAGGAGATGCAGTGAAGCACAGCTTCGTCTGCGACCCGGACGACGAGACGTTCGTGAAGAACATTATCCTGCAGGACTGTATGTGGAATGGCTTTTCGGCCTCCGCCAAGCTGGTCTCCAAGCTGGACCCCTACCAGGCTGTGCGCAAAGAAGGGACCAGTGCGAACCCGGCCGCGGACAGCGAGCCTGCGACGCCTCCAGACTGCACCTGCAACACCTGAGCACACCGCACTGGATCTTTGGACTGTAAGCTTCGGCCATGTTAACTGCCTCAAATTCTGGGCATAAAAGAACTCCCTCCCCCTTTTCTTTTTTAAAGCTTGCCATCCTTCCTTAGCCCCCTTAACAGATTTGTATTTGTGTACTAAAAAATCTTAAAGTTTTATCACTTTTCCAATGTCAACTGGACCCTTAAATGTAAATAACTTAAATAAAACATTTTATCAGTTGTATGAGATCTTAAGATATGAAGTATAAAAGTATATTTTCCTTTTAAAAGTAGAGTCTTTTCTGTCGTTTTAAGAAAAACAAAAAATTGGCAAATATATTGAGCCCGTGCTAAAAAAAAATAACGTTATGAAATTCAAAATAAAAAACCAAGGAGCTACAGAAAATACGACTATTAAGTATGCTAGAAGTAAGAGGAAATTTATGTGATCAAAAGGAAAAATGAACAAAAGAGGAAAAGACAAAAGATTGTTCAATCAGGAAACAAATGTGTAAACAAAATGAAATAAATAGACCAAGGAACTTAAACTATGAACATAATTGAAAAATAAAATAAAGGTACTATGAAAGCAGAGAAAAAGAAAAAAAAGTGAATCACAAGAGGCAAGAAAAAAAAAAAAAAACCCAAATTATCGCTGCATCTTCTTTCTGGGTCCTGTGAATTTGGAGATGGTCAGGTGTGTGGGAAGTATGGGGTCAGCTGAGCTTGTGGACTCTTGTCTCTCCTACCATTTATCTGGTGCTGACCCATGGGACCAATGAGCACAGGAGCTGTCATCACAGCCTACCAGGGGCCTCTGCTGGCCACACTTGGCTTTGCAGTCTGTGTGCTGGGCAGCCCCTCCTCCTCCCCTCCCTCCCCAGCTTCCTCAGTTCCTTCACCCAGCAGTAGCTAAAGTTCTAGCTGAGGGGAGGGCAGTGTCCCCAAGTGTGCTGGGAGTGGGGCAGCAGCCATGGTGCTGAGAGCTGTAGGGGTGCACCTGTCTTCCTACTTTCAAAGGCCACTAAACTGGAGGCTGCTGCTGGGAGCCCACAGGGATCTCAGAGTCCACAGAGGGACACCCAAGGCTTGGTGCTGACTCACCCTCTGGTCCCAGGCTCAGAGCTTTGAACCTCCAGAGAATTCTCAGGAGACAGGTGGGCTCTGGGCAGCTAGGGTGGGAGTCCCTCCTCCCATGCACTTCTCTGCCTGTGCCCAGCTTCCTGCCCATTGGACCTTCTCCACACCAGCCGCCTACTGTCCATAGCTGCCTCCCAAGCTCTCACCCTGGAGCTGTGTGGCAGGTTCAACTTGGGGTCCCTGAATTGTGGAAGTTCCCTGCTCCTGACCTCTCTGGATGGCTCCTGGCCACAGCCCTCAGAGCTGGGACACTGCTCCACCCACCTGGCCAGAAAAGCAACTGTTCTCAACAACAGCAACATCTGGATTTGAGGCTTGTGTGAGCTGTGAGCTTACCCTGTGGCTCTTGGCACCTGGGCCTCCTGGCTTCCCTTGGCCTGGGTCCCCCAACAGGGGCCACCATGCTGGAGTTGTGCTTGGCTTTCTTCCTTTTGTTTTCTCTTTCTGTAATTCCCAGCTGTCCTGTCACCCCTATTATGAATGTCTAAAATGCGTCCTTTCTTTCTTTGTAATTCTCTCTCTCTCTCTCTCTGAATGTGTGTGTGTGTGAGTGTGTGTGTGTGTGTGTGTGTGTGTATTTTTCCCTATCCTGACTTTGCTCCCCCACCAGGGCCCATGAAGTCACCTTCTCAGCCTCCATCCATCTGGAAGTCTCCGGTTTAGGCTTTGACCAAGTTGGAGGATCACAGTAGGTCTATTGAGACTTCTGTGAACTTTTTCCAGGTTGCCCATTATGAATTAGTTCCAGTCTGTTTTGTTCCTGGTCTTGTGCCCTGTGACCCTATGGCTAAGGGCAATCAGCCAGGCACTCTGGGGGCACTTCCTCAGAGAACAAAATAACAAAATGACACAGGCCGTGTGGCTATAAGCAGACATTGATTTCACAGTTTCAGAGCCTGGGGAGCCAAAGGAGCTGTCAGATTTGGGTTTGCTGAGGGCCCACTTCCTGGCTCTCAGATGGCTGTGAACCACTGCCTGCTTACACAGTGGAAGAGAAGAACCCAGTCCCCTCTGCTGGTTTAAAGTCACCAATTCTGCCTATGAGACCTGTGCCTCTGAAAGGCCCCCTCCCAAACCATGTGCTTGAGGTTAGGTCTCAACACAGGGAGGGAAGGTAGGGGGACACAAACGTCTAGCCATTGTGAGTCCCTCTGAATTTCATAACCTGACTGAGCTTTGACAACCAAGACGGCCCACTGTCTTTCAGTTCTATCAGCTGTCAGGTGATACTATCCAGCCATCTTCGAACTTCTCAGGAGTAGGCAGTTTCTGGGGACTCTCCCAGGCAGAGATGTTGCACCTGTCTTTCTAAAGCCCACTCTGGCTCACTACTCTCAGAGCTCTGTATCTGGAAGCCTTTACCATGTAGCAGAGGCCTCAGGTGGCGACAGCAAATGATGGGCGAAGCTTCAGGGCTGGAACTGGAGGTTCTGAAACCCCAGGGCCACCGTTGTGTCAGTTGTCTCGCTTAGCCTGTATTTTAGTTCCCTTTTCTGTTTCTGTGATAAAATTACCCAGACTAAAGCGGCTTCAGGAGAAAACGTTTATTTCAGTTCACAAACTGAGAATATAGGCCACCATGGTGGAGAAATCCTGGAGGTTGGAGCCGATCACATCACATCACATTCACAGCGCAGAAACAGACAGATCAGCTCTTGGGCTGCCCTCACTGTCTCCTTTGTTGATGGTCCAGGATCCTTCCCAGGGAACAGAACCACCCACGGTGGGTGTGTCTTCCCACACCCAGAAGCTAATCAAGGCATGGCCCACAGGCATGCATGCGTAGCTTCTTATCTGCTAGGTGATTTGGATCACATTTAGTTGACAGCTGAGATTAGCTATCATCATACCCTGACCCAGCAGAAGACCATCACAGGGGAATCCATGTGAGAATACTTTATTCAGATAATGACCCCAAGAAGTATCCACAGCAGAAAAAGGAAGGGCTCAAGGGACTGCCAGTGCCTTTACATGTTATCATACAAGCTATGCTTTGTGAAACTGGAGCTCCCCTTGGATGGGGAAGCCTGGAGGATGGAGAGGGAGGGGAGGGAGGGGGGAGAGAGAGGTGGGGAGGGAAGAAGAGAGGGAGGGAGAGAGAGAGAGGGGGAGAGAGGGGGAAGGGGAGAGGAGAAGGGGGGAGAGAGAGAGACAGAGAAGAGAGACCATGTTGCCCACAGGAGAGGAGCGACCTTGGTGTTACTACAGGTTCTCCCTAGAGGCAGGAAAGGGTGATGTTATGAATGACTTTACAGAATACATCTGGCAAATTTCTGGATTTCAAAGTCACCTAGCAGTTGTGGGTTGAAGACCTGAGATTCCTTTCAGAGTGTGCTGGCCACTCCCTCACTTTAACAGGAGAACTTCTGGGAGCTTTAGTCATCCCCACACCATATCCACAACTCAGAGTGGCCAGGGTGTGGGCGACCAGAGGGAGCTGAAGGAAAGGTGCGCAAAAGTGGCCTTACTTTATCCAACAAACCGAACAGCCATGGAGCTCCAAGAGCAATCAGAGCAGCTCAGAGAAGTGGGACTAGGTGCCTCTTGCTATAAAAAAAGGCGAGACTTCTTGAATGGAGGGGCCCAGAGTCAGAGAGTGAAAGCAAAGCCGGGAAGGGTCAGGAATGCTGAGCTCCTCTAGGAATCAGGGCTTCCTCCTCAGCAGACTGTCCACTGTCCTGCCTGTGACCAGAGCTTTCTGGGCTGTGTCTTCACTGCTAGGTGATCTCCATCCTCCTTCTGCCTCCTCGATTTTCTTCCTTCTGCTCCCTCTTCCTTCAGTAGAGGAATGTTCAGGCAGCTTCCTCAACTGTGTCAGTCTTGAGTTGGATGTGGTTGATGTCAGTGGTGCAGGAGCTCCTGTGATGGTCAGTTTGCATCACACGAGAAAAAGAAGCTGTCACCGCAAGGTCCTGATGCATCTCACAGAGAGAGGATTACTGAACTCTGGAGAGGGGCATTCCATCTTTAGAGGCTCCAGCTCCATAGGGTGAAGCCCTGAGAGCCAACTACCTCACCCAAAACCATGGCACAGAGACGGTCTGTTCCTATCGAGCCTGGCCTCATCATAGAGTTATGTGCAAATCCTGGCCAATTATTTAAGTGACAGGAATTTCGACAGCTGGTTACTTAGCAGTAGACTCTGGAACTTCATCCCTCTTTCACTCTTACCCAGCTCATCTGATTTGGGAGACTGTAAAGCTGCACTATGCTATTTCTGCCACCCTGTCTACATTTCTTAGTGAGTACATCGGTCAGGAGTGAAGCAAACATTTTTTGCCTCTCTTTGTCCGTGTTTTGTGTCTCATCTTTGCTACAATACCATTGCTTGAACAATATCCAGGGTGCAAAATGGCAGATTAGAAGCTATCTGTGTGTGAAATTGTGAGCGGTAAGAGTTGGAGTAACAAGGGGAGAGAGAGACCTGGCATCCATCTAATTATACATCCACTCATCCTTTCTTCCATCCACTCATTCTTCTCATCCACACATTCATTATTGAGTCATTCATTATCTACTATTCATCCACTGATCACTCCTTCATCCATTCACCAATCCTCCTATCCACATCTACCTACATACCCGTCCACCCATGCATCCATTACTTAGCAACATGGGATGGAGATAATTCTGACTCTATGGCCACACCTCCTTTTTCCTAATGACACTGAGAGCCTGATGTTTTACTCATTACTGTTTAGAGAGGAGCCAAATGATGGCTTTGACCCCTTATCCTGAATGTCACCACTACCCAGCACCAAGACAGTTATGGGGGGGGGTTCTCTATGGGGAACTCATCATTTCCTACAATGGCCTTCATGAGCCGATACCTGGAAAACTGAAAGATGAATTTCATCCCTTCCTAAAGCCCGCACACTCTCCTGTGGCATATGTTTCCCATCAACTGCCACTCAATCCTGACCATCCCACTCCTACCGCGGAGGAGCTTCACATGATGGAAACCTGCTCACTCCCACAGTGTCAGAGCCCTTTCCTAGTAAATTCTCTCAGCATCCACCCCTGTGCCTGAGGAGGCCTGAGAACATGCGATGGGGTCCTTTGATTCCAAATCTTTCTACCATTTTGGCAGAGAGAGAGGTAAGGGTCAGGCTGAG